TGTTTACTCACGTTCGTACTACACTTAGCGCACTCGCAAGTAATTATACGTTTCACAACTGATAACCATTCACAATTTTTGGTGCTGACAATACAGAAATAACAGACATAGATTCTGAACAAGAACCAGATTATAAAATGTCCCCACAAACAGCTAATAAAAATAATAATAAAAAAAAGACATTATTGTCGTTATTTGGAGTTTCTAATTAAGTTGGATTAACGTGAAATTTCCATTATTAAGCTATGTATTTTACTATTTTACACCCGACAACGCTTCATATTATTTTTTAACTATAAACTTTATTTTTCATGTCGGTAGCCAATTTTAAGTTCCCACTCTAAAGTAGAATAATATTTTAAAAAATAATGATGAAGCTAAAATAAAATATATTTTTGTTGAAGAAAAGAAAACATATAGGTCAAATTTGAATAAATTATTCGTCTTGATTTTTTTAAAGATTTATCTTGTTTTTAGATTGTACAAAATCTTTAGTTATCATAGATAAGTAATCAATTGAAGAAAGAGTGAGTTTGGTAAATTTAACTGAAATTACAACTTCTCGCCCGATAATATATAAGTAAATTTCAAACTCATAATTTTTGATAATTTATGATGTATGTTGAAGAGTTTATATAATAATAATAAGGTGAAATTATACGATAAGTCAAATGAAATAAAATACCAAATTATATGATGAGTTTAAGAAATTCTTCAATTAAATACACCACGATTTCTAAACTCTTTAAAAATCTCAAATGAATACGCATAAGTCTCAAATTTTAAGAAATCTCGAAATATCAATCGAAATCTCAAACATACACCCTTAAGTCTGATAACAATTATTGCAAGTTAGAGCGAAGTTAAAATCAATCTAAAACTAAAGATGTTTAATTTATGAAGAACCATCTTATAATATTTTATATTCATCAAGTGTCAAAGAGTATAATGATCTAATTGTATAGGGTGGTTAAATTGTCAACATAACCACTTATTTTTCATGGATAAAACCATGATCTTGATGTCCCTTTGATTGAGGGTACAAAATTATTTTTTTATTAAAACAACTATAATTGT